AGCATAAAATAGTAGCTTACTGATGCTGTGTTTCGTATAGTGAGTGTAAAGAACCAGAGACCCTTTTTAAAGGAAACGAGGCATTTCATCTTAGTCCTCACGGGTGACAACGCATCTGCATTTTGATTCGTAATCGAGGATAAATGTAGATGTATGTGGGCCACAGTAACCACTTACCATCAGGTGAACTGTGTGCTCGTTTGTCACCCTATCCTATAAAAAAACGTCGATTTCTTACAATTCTATCGTGCAAGATTTCGAATCACCATCATCATTACAGCTGTTCACAAGTCCACTACTGAACATCCTCCTTCACAGACTGCCGCAAAGCATGATCCTGAGCCACTTTGCTCGTCATGAGTTTTTCATTTATGTTCTAAGTTATAATTAGTACCTATTTTAAGTCGGTGTTAATTATATTTATTTGTTTTTGTCTTTCTCAAAAAATAATTAAATTACCAAATAAATTATAAGGTGTTTTTTATATACATCAAATGTCGGATAGAAAAGCAAGTATATGTTTTGCTAAACTTTAAAATCAAAACCCAATTTTAAAACATAGACTAATCGATTACAACTCTTTTAACTTTAAAATAAGTTAAGTTCTTATTAATGGTATTTATTCCAGTTTACGATGCATGTAAAGAATAAAATAAAGCTAATCGTATATCGTATATCTATTTACAGCCCCATTAATATCCACTATTCTTTTATAATTATTTTATAAAAACGTTACCCCCACACTTGGATTTTCTCCCGTATCGCGGAGGCAGCTTACAAACATAAATTGCACAAGGACACACATCCAGACCCGAAACAATTATTTGTAGGATATACAAATACTTGATCCGTGCGGGATTCAAACCCGCGGCCCCCGGCACAGCGACTCATTGCTAAGCCACTGCGCCACGGAGCCGTCGTCTAAAATAAAATATATTCGTCCGCACATTAGCCCGAACCGAAGTAAACTGAACGACGTTCCAACGTGTGGACGCCGTCACCAACTCTCGGCCAATATATTCGCCACTACATTCGCCACTGTGTTGGCCAACGTGTAGAGGCGACATAACACATTCCAAAACACCTCAGCCTCTACCAGGATGTCTACGACCGACGGAACATTAAAGTTCGGGTCTACTAGTGTAAGACCTGAAGGAATATGGACGTGATTTATATGCACGAATGAAGACGGTAGAACCTTTGTAATTTCAGGTAAAATATGACACTCGATATCAACAGTAAAGGCACAGCATAAAGACTCAATTGTGAGGTGACAAGACTGTGTACTGGTGGATATGTGATTATTAATACCCGTTACCTTTGTGCTCGTACCGCAATGTAACAAACCCAGTTTCTCTGATAGTCTCTGTGTAACAAAGTTGGCGGTACTACCGTTGTCCAGCAGTAAACGCGCAGTGTATTTCTTACCCAACCCGCTGGTCACGTTCACCATAGCTGTGGACAGTAAAACATGCGCAGAAGTAGCAAGCTGCAAGGAATTGGCTGATAGTGCGATATTTGACGCAGAAGGCAAAGAAGAAGATATAGCAGAAGGCAATGGGTTAGAAAATGGTTTGGATTCACTAGATTCTAAATGCAAACGCGTATTGTTCTTTGTTTTGCAATATTTGCAATGCTTTCACTTGTTTACACTGCTTAGCAGAATGTCCGACACGCAGGCAGTTAAGACAATCATTGTAATCATTTGCCTTTTTTATGCGATCCTCTATAGTTAAATTTCTAAAGAATTCACATTTATATAATGTATGAGCCTGGGAGCAAAGTGGACATTTATTTATTTTATTAAAATTATTATCTGATTTTTTATTAACTTGAGTGACTTTAGAATTAGAATGTTTATATATGTATGACTATTATTTAAAGCTACAATAGTATTAGTCTGAGAAGAATTGATATTTGACTCGACAGACTCTAACCAATCCGCTTTCCTACTTAAAAAAAGAACAAAATTGCTTCGTGCTTCCCAGTCACGACTTAATTTTTTAGTCATGACATATATTAATAATGTGTCCCAATATTGAGTGGGCTGATTTAATTTTGTTAGTGCCCTTACATTTTTATTAATTGTATCTACGAGGTTTCTGATTGAGATACTTGACTCCTTGACTATAGGATCGACATCAAATAAAGCTTGCATATGATTATTCACAAGAAGGCGATTGTTGTTATACCGCTCACACAACATGTCCCACGCAATTTTATAATGATCGTCTTTGAAATCAATATTTTTAATAACTAAGGCTGCGTTTCCATACAATGAAGCGCGCAAATAGTGGAACTTGTTTATTTCATTGATACTAGAGTTATCGTGAATTAATGACGTAAACGTATCTCGAAATTCGAGCCAGCATTGGTAGTTCCCATCGAAATGAGGCAAATCAATTTTAGGCAAACGAACAAAACTATTCTTATTAGAACAGTGTGCACCTGAGTCAGCAACTTTGAAACCCGTCTCCGACCCAGCACCATTGGACAAAGCACGGAGCAGGCTGCGCGTGATGGCCACCAGATTGAAGAACTGATGGTCAAAGTCCTCAGGCTCAGCTAACGCAGACCCGGCATCATCGGCTAGTACTTCAATGTTTGTCTGTAATTCGTCAAATTCGGAATGTAAGGTTTCGAATTTATTAAAACGCTGTGTTTGTAAAATTGGTTTGTGCCCAAATAAAAAATATGTTGGTGCCAATAACTCCACGTTTAAAATGAGTGACATAAAAAAATTATTAGATGACGCAATAGCATTAATAGACGCTAATCGTTGGAAGAAGTGCTGCGTCCACGTGATACGCGAAGAAAATACCATGTGGAATTTGGATGACATCATGGAACTTGCAGAACAAAATTCTTTCATAATTAATATAACTGGAGAATCTATCGATACCGATTAGTGATTTAAGTAATTTTAAGAAAATTTGTTTCCATTAAACTTAATTAAATGTTTGAAAAAAAAAAGAATTTTTACTCCACTGTGAATACACCTTTACCCTGTAGTTGCACTGATGACTCACTATTTTCTTAACGCGAACGGACTATAGAAAAGATTTCCTCCTAGCCTCTTACTATACAGGCTTACCTTAAGAGCACAGCACAGTAGCGCAAGCATTACTATTTAACCGAAAAATAAATAAGAGTGTGGTCTACCTAAAAATGATCTACCTAAAAAGATGCCGAATGTCTGTAACATATTTATATCCGTGGTAATTTTCATATTTTTTTGGAACCAACTAGCTGTGCCCTACCGAAATTTTGCTGACTTATTGGGTTTTTAAATAATATTGGAGTGGCAAGTCCTGGTAGTGAATATGGACGGACACTACGCTACGGACATATGTGTTCAACTTTAAACTAAAGCCACAGATGCGTTGTTACACCTGAGAAGTTAATTGCCTCATAGTCTATAAAATTCTAGTTAAAAAAATCCTGCCACTCCATTATAGCTGGAAAATAGCAGTAGCTGCACTAACTCTTGCCGATAAGTACCATTGGTGGTAACAATCCAGACGAACTCTTAATCAGTAATAAAACTTAGTAGATTAATTAATTTCAATACGAAATTATAAACTAACATAACCCAGCGGATTAGTAACCAGCAGTTTCTATGAGTCGGCCATATAATTTGACGACTCCTTGGTGCAGTAGCTTAGCAATGAGTGGCTGCGCTGGGGGTCGCGGGATCGAATCCCGCACGGAACAAGTATTTGTATGGCCTACAAATAGTTGTTCCGGTTCTGGATGTTTGTCCTTGTGCAATTTATGTTTGTAAACTGCCCCCACGATACAAGAGAAAATCTTAGTGTAGAAGTAACGTTTTTTAAAAATAAAATAGAAAAATAGAATCGAGTCGATGACCGATAGCGAAGAAAGATTCTCGAGTGTTTTCATACTTTTCATTTTCAGTCTTCAATTCACCGCTGGTTTTACTCAAGTTTGAGATCTAATGGCGGTTTGAATTCCTTATCATAAGAATGGTGCCCTATCGTACTTGTGGGTTATGGTACTAGCTTTTTTTTCTATCATGGTTCCTGGTTGTCAGTGATAGTATTTTTAACGGATTAGTAGGCTGAAGTGACAATGGACCGACCATATAGCTCAAAAAACCAATAACCGATGGGGTAGAACGGATCTCGACCATCCCATGGATTGACGACCTGGTAAGATACGCAGGAAGTCGATAGATACAGGTGGCTCAGGGCCGTGCCTTGTGACATTCTTTGGGGAGGCCTTTGTTCAGTAGTATACTTGCGAAGGCCTATAATCATGATGATGATGATGAAAACGATGGTATCTTAACTTTAAATAAAATGAATGTCATCACAATGTTCTCGACTTTCGTTCACACATTGCCCTTGCCAGCTAATTGAACACTTTTTACTACGATGTGCTTTGAAATCCAAGTAACTAATATTTTATACAGCCCTTGAAGTATTTTAATGAGGAATCTTTAAACAGAGAATTTGTAATCTTATGTACAAGTTTAACAAGTAGCTGTCTTAACTTTAAATTAGATTTGTAAGTCAAGCATCTGCAAGTGGTGTACTTACTTGGTACTTTAAATAAACGAATTAAAGGCAGCATTAAGATTTCACTAAGATTTGTTCTTTGTTATGTCTGTACTTTGCACTGCAATTTGTATCATTTTAACGTGAAAAAAACATTCCTTAATATAACACTGACTGAGGCTGTAAAAAGTGTATAAAATACAGACAGACAAAACTCCGAAACGCTTCAATATTACAGTTTCCTCATAAAGTGGTTACAATTTTTTTAATCAAACTCCTAATAAACCCATAAAGCGACTTCTGCTTGAGAGCCTCTTGAAACTGTCAGGCGAGCACACCGTGACACACCACGAACCCCTTAAGCCAGTAGTGATGCAGCCCGTGGAGTCCCGGAATTTTCCAGTTCGAGGCCCTACGACCCGCCTTAGCTACGTCATCTAACGTTATGATGACGGGGTTCATGGGCGTAATAAATGCACACTAACTCACCATCGTTTCCGTCCTAGGGCCCTCGCTGTGGTTTACGGGTCCTGAACTCAGGCCACGCCAGAATGCGACAGTATTGGCCTGATCCGGTACTGGGCCCGTTCCACATACCTTTGGTCGCTCCAATGATTTGTAGAGCCTCTTCTGATCACTCTGGAAGAGACGATTCTGGTTGAACTGTGTCGACCTCTCGGTATATCGCCGAATCCGCTTTCCCCAAGCAGCGATTCTCTGCTTCAGGTCGTCTATACGCTCCGTCAGTTTTTGTGATATATCCGGCTGGGACAAAATAACATTTGTCCCAGCAAACGTCATCCTGACGGTGTGCACAACCCTTCGCCTGTTATTACCTGACCTGAAGCATATAATTCTACCGATGAGGTAGCCCTAGCCTTTGCGATTCGTTCTTCAATTCTTATTCTCCATGCTGGGATAGCGTTACTTTGTCCAGTAGCGCGTCCAGCCGTGGAAATTATGGTGCCTTTAATACGGCATACTGCCAGTGCGGCGCCAAAAAGAATTGAGTCCGTCTCGCAAAGGTCCCGGCTGGCTTCCAAATTGGTTCCTAGCATTGGATTCAGAGTCGTTGCCGATCGAGTTTGGTGACATCAAATATATTTAGCGCAAGGTATACCGAACTCGGTCTGCCAGGTTTTACTCTGTGACGGTTATAAATGGCTCCAGCTCAGCAAAAAGACGATGCATCCTAGCCGGATACTCAAAACCTCCAACTTCTCTCCCTTTCGCCCTTAAATACCAATTCGTTGGTATTTATTTTGATTGTCCATCGCGTGTGGCGTTCTCCACCAGTGGCGGGTGCTGATTGCTGGGCCCGCAAAGACCCTGCCGACACTAAGCCAGCTGTTGGGGATGATGGATGCGAGGGGCTGCTGGGCGATCGTGCAGCACCCCGCGCTTGACTGGCGGTTCGCATGCTGCCGCATCCAGCGCCAACACCAGACGCGCCCTGACGGCCTCCAGGCAACGGCCCTTTGCGCGTTCTATAAAATTCCATCATCTCTTGGCAAGGTGCTGACTAACTGCGCTGACGTAGTAGTTTTGTCACATAACCGTTACGTCAGCAGGCGATGGGGTCGTCACTTCCCTATGCTTGTTTATTTCTTATTATTATTATGAGAGTGTGTCACCGTTAGAGACATTTCCGCGTGAATCGTTTAGAAACTCTCAATTTTTCCAGTCTGCGGAGACATATTAAAGTATTCGAATTGATTGTTAACTAAAGAAACTTCTTCTAACAATTAATTCAAATTGCGTACTGGCAGTACGGTACCAATATATTTGTGTATATCAATTCAGAATACACGTACATTGTTAATACATAATTCTGCTGTATAGTTTGGAAGACGTTAGTTAGAGAATTTGTCATAAACTACAATATTGAAATTGTTTGTGTATTAGTTTCACAGCCTTTCGTACTATCTATATATAGAACCAAAAAGATTTAAAGGTTTATAGAGCGGCCATTATGAACATTTTCACTTTAATCTCGTACGTCAGTAACGCTAACAAGCTTTAAATAACAAAATGATTTTTACCACTTTGTACCATCTATCGCTCGTTAATAATTAAATATCTTTGTATAAAACGGAAATTCGCAATGGAAATTATGTATGTACTTAATTAAATTAATTAAATTATTAACGGAATATTGTATGTAAATCACATAATAATATCACATTTTAAATATTTAATTTTCAAATGCAGAAATAATCCAAGCCTCTCTTCATAGCTTGTACGCAAATGTTGAAAAATAATTTATTGTAAAAAGAAATATAAGCAGTAAATATATTTTACCCTTAAATAGCAATATTTTTCTTTGTCAATCGTCCTATTCAGCCTTCAAACGTCTTCTACTTTTTGATTTAACTTAGTCGTTTCCAACTAGTTCTACGAAAGAAAAAAAATGAATAATGATTAAATTATAAAATATTATTACTTATAATAACTTATAAAAATATAAAACTGTTGATGCCATAGACTTATAAAGTGATTATCATACACAGTATTTCTAAGATAGCAGAACTACATTGAAGGCTGATTTGGAATTTATTGTAATCCAGGCTAAGCACTCGCCGTAAAACATGAGCAATACAGTACGATTTCTGACGACACTAATGATGTTGATAATTTTGAATTTTGCTGAAGTGCTGATTAACCATGTATTTGGTGGTAAAGGTACATGCTATAGAAATCTACTGCTGAACATAGATTGCTTCATGGGGGGGGGGAGATATTTGTCATAATGGCCACGCTTGGAAAGCGGATTGGGACCACAGTTGCAGCTACCGATCTCCTATTTCAGTTTCCCCCTGTCGCCTGTTACTATACCCGCGGGATAATATGGGTGTGATGGGTGGATATGCAACAAGGTTGATATTCTTAAAGCGACACTATACGTTTAATTGTTTGCGTGGCCCACAAAACACAGTTCCGCGTCTGAATGTGATGCTTGTACAATTTGTACATGTAAATCGCTTTCACAATACAGGAGAAAATCCTTGTGTGGAGGGTAATTTATTTAAAAAAAGCTTCAATTTCCATAAAATTCAAAAGTTCTAAGTATAATATTTTGACCTGGAATTCAGTGGGAGTTTTATTGTTATAGAAATAGGCGGAACACAACAAACAGGAAGCATATTTTTTAAAAGTTAAACTGGTATCCATGTTTTGATTTCTTAAACTTGAAGTTTTGAAGTTCTTAAACTTATTCCATCACAGTGATATCTTGTGATTAACTTATTTTAGCGTGTATATAAAAATCTATACTATATCATACTGTCATATGATTATCTGTATCTGTTCCCTCATCATGACATGTCACGTCAATAAATACAATAATTGGCTACGGCCCAAGTCCTAAGATACAGGTACACTGTCTGAAGCACGTTTTGTCCATAAATAACTCTAGACCGATATCGCGATATATCATTTTCCGATAACTGCTGTAAAAACTGTCATCTAAGTAAGATAAATGAAAGTACCAAAACCCACACTTCAAATACAGACCTATTTACTATTCTTTATTTTTATCCGATATTTTAACTGATATGAGTCTCGATTTCAGTCCGCAACACACAAGCGCGTTTAAAATAAACTCTCATTCTTCTTTTTTCTTCAAGTAGCATAAGCCTTTTTGCATTTTTTATAAATTAAAAAAGCACCACGAAAGTTTTCTATATCATCATTTTCACAAGTCCACTGCCAGGTATATCACCTCCAAACAATACCCGAAAACACTGACTTAATACCACCTTCATCTTTCTATGCTAATAAGTCGGGCATGTAGCTCGAGGAACTAACAACTAATAGGAAGGAAAGTTACTCGAATGGCGTGGCAAGACATGCAAGAAGTCTTCGAAATATCTGCGGTTAATCGCTAATTGCTCCTTATTTTGTTTATTACCAATAAAAATTAGTATGTTTGTAATGATCTGTATTACTGTACTCCCGACATTTCGAGTACTTTATTACTACACCCATTATCTTTGGTGACCCATACCATGCCTGGATTGGGATTTCATTATTATTTAATGGATCCTAAGCAGATGGTAGTACCTAGCCAACTTCTCAATGGAAATTAAAATGATTTTTATTTAAAAAAATTCGTGAATCATTTTTAGTACGAATCGGTGTCCTTTTGTGAGGATGGATTATGGTATCTCAAATTTGATATAATGACGGCGGTGACCTTGAACATGTTCACAATGATCCGGAAAGTCTGAAGTTTATATCTGTATAGAGGTATTAATATTAATTATTTAAAGTTGTTAAGAATTAATTAGCATACTACAGCTCAATTAAATAAAATGATGTTTCAACTAGTTTGAAGAGAATTTTGTGTCAGTTTCCAAGAGATGTTTAGCAAAATGACACGTTGTCAACCCGATTGTTTGCTTGGTCGATCCGAGTTTCAGCTTCCGACAGGCGGTTGTCATGTTGAACTATCCTATCCTTCACCTCACTTATCTCTTTCTCGAAGGTAGCGGGAAGGTCTTTCATGGGAGCATCTGCTCTTCATTATCGCGTTTGAGCAGTTCTTCCTGTCTGCGCTGCAGCTGTTCTTCCAACCGACGGGCTGGTTCTTCCAACCGACGGGATGGTTCCTCCTATCGACGGGCTGGTTCCTCCTGTCGACGGACCTGTTCCTCCTGTCAGCGGGCCTGTTCTTCTTGTTGGCAGGCCTGTTCATCCTGCTGCTCCTCCAACCGATGTACCTATTCATCCTGTCCGCGCTGCAGCTGCTCTTCCAACTGTCGGGCCTGTTCCTCCTGTCGTCTAGCCTGTTACTACAGTCGGCGAGTCTGCTCCTGCCACATCATCACCAGAACACCTAAATCAGGTGCTGCAGATGTAGGAGCTGCTGAAGGGTCAGCCTCTGTGGCTGGCAGCTGGCCCTCTGATGTCTTCGGCGTTACACCACCAAATCTTCTCGGGTCCATCTCTTGATGGCATTAACTTCATGTACGGATACCCTCCGTGTCGTTCTTAGGTAAAATTGGTACGATTTAATCCCACTTCTGACACCAATTGTTACTAACTTGGGGTTGCTCACAATAAAAACTACCGATTGAATTACCAAAATTGACACTTTAATTACCGAACACCAATTACAACTTAAAACACACTAATAAAAAATCACACTGATCACTTTAGTTTGCAGGTATATCGCTTCGAAGTATTCGCTTGATCGCCAATTCAATACTGACTCGGTCGCGGTCCTAACCGGTTTTATATAGGACCTTCTCTACTGTAAAATCTCAAATATTCGGGTACATATCGGTCCCGACTGGTACGTGTAGAAAGTTTTAGTATGGAGTTTTCTAGAAAGCTCTCCTAGTTCTACTACTCGATACTAGATGGCACTAGTGGAAACTTGCCTTGTGCCAGTTATTAATTATGGCGGGCAACAGTAATTTAATATACCCATAACAAATACTCAATGGCTTCATTTAAACCTATTTCTAAACAACTGCTAATTAATTGTCAAGAATACGGCAACAGACACACATTGGCAAGAAGTTTTGCCCACACGCGCTATATTGGGCAAGCAGTTTGTTGACCGAAGAGTCGCTGCCCTTTTGCGCTGCTCCCAATAATCAGTTGAAATGTAAATCTAATTATGACTTATGCGTTTACTTGGCATTATGAGAAAAAGTGTATAGTTTATTATTTTAAGAATTTATATTTAAAACATATATTTTAAGAAGTAATAACTAAGTTCAAAGAAATAAAGAGAATTACGTTTATAATTTAAACATAAAATAACGGCAAATAAATTCGGCGTATCATCTTAC